CTCTGCTTTGATAACATGCTACAAATGCAAACGTCTTTAGTGTCTCTCCCTCCAGATAGCCTAGACAGTGAGCCAGTAGCTCTGCCAGGAGGTGATTTAGAGTGTGGTTCCACCAGACAAGCTGAGCTGTCTTAATGGCTTGCTGTTTCCAAAGAGGTAAACTCACTACATCTTCCGTGCTTCCAGTCATGGCAGCAAGTTCTGCCCCCAACTTTGGCACTTTTTGGACCCTCTCCTGAGCCAATTCAACTCACGAAAACAGCAGGAAATTACCTGTCTTTGGGGTGAGTTATTTTTCTGCCATTTTAGTGAACTACATTGGCTCAGATAAAGGTCTAACAAAGACAATATAGCATTTGGCAGGAGTGTTTGTCTGGGAGAGGGAAAATCATGGTGGAACTAGGGAAAACCCTTTTGGAAGCAGTGAGCTATTATGCGTCTTGTGAAACCGTATCCAGCTGAAAGATATCCACTTTCTTTTCTGAGCTGTTTTTTACTGACTTAATTAGCTCATTGAAGATCAAATGTTTGCCAGACCCTCACAAGAGAAGCAGCAGGAGTTCATTCCTAGAACTGAGAAGGTATGGAGGGAGGCTGTCCCCTTTCAGTAACAGTTCCTCTCAAGGAACTGCACTCTCAGAAACACTCTTCTTCGCCTCGTTGTGTACAGTGGTCCTCGTAGAAAAAGAACAGGTTTTTTTCTGGTAGTTTGTGGTTTCCCTGTTTTAAAGAATAGTCGAGTCCCTTGAAGCACCTCTTCTTTGATTAATTGCTACGATGTGCAGATGCATTTTATATAATTTGCCTGTTATATTCTTTGGATTTGTCCTTTGAATGTTTTCTGCCATCACCTACCATTATTAACTGACATGCTGTCAAGGCAGTTTAACAGCTTTATATGCTTAAGATGCACCTGCAGAGGGTATCTCTAAATCGGTATCATATGTCAATTTGTTGATGTTGTGTCCTTGAAAAGTGAGCCCTTGTATTAAAAACCTATCACTAGTACTAAGTATACAACGGGAAAGTCGTGAAATAAGGTGAAAAAGTGGAAGTAGGGCTCCATTCTCAGCACGAGTTTGTAAAAAACCTGCTGGCTTTCATTTTTACGTTGTGGGAAGAGTGACTTCCAGCTCCCATTGAGCTCCTGCAAGTGAAAGAGCCATTGCTTTACAAGGGCCAGAGCAGAATTCCTGCTTGTACCTGCTGGAAGCCATAGGTGAATTTGACTGTTATGTCTGAGGACGCAAGGGCAACCCATCCTAGTGGTCAGTCCTAGGATGCATGAAATGTCAAGCTGCTGATGGACAGTTTGGAAGGCAGGGGCCACACATTTTCCACTTATGCTTGGTATTCTGCTTCTCTCAAGCTCAGAAACCAGTGGAAGCCCAAATCCTTTGCTAGATACCGCTAGTTGGCTGCACCCACAACCTGCAACACTCTCCAGCTCCTTCTGGGTGCTTCTTCTGGTAATTCGGTGCAGATGGCATCTCACGTGCAAGGCAGTTGCACAGAAGGCAGTGCAAACCATCTGCCTAAGAAAACACCAAGTTGGTGCTGTTCCATACAGAGTAGCAGCTGAATGACTTACTGCTTCATCCAGCCTCACTTTGAACGCTGTCTTTGAGAGGCTGCGGCATACAGCAAGGCCACTGAAAGTCCTTGTATTTTTATGGGAGAGTCCGTAGCCCTCTTTACTCCAACCTGATTATCTGGGAAATGCTGAGAACAAGGAAATCGGCAACAGACCACGCTTTTTCTTTGTGAAAGAAAGAAAACGAGTAGGGAAATTTTATACAGTGATTTTTCCTCATCTATACAAGACACATGAAAGTCCCTTCTTTTGCCTGCTCTATCCTATACTGAACACTTCACACTTTTGCATCAGGAAGGACAGATTCCACATCTCAAAGGGTTATTGTAAAAGATTAGCGCTGCCAACCTGGACACCTGCTGAATATGTCATATTACTTAGATTCAGCATTTGTAAAAGTCTAACACATATACCACTGTAAAATATTGTAGCCAGAACGATCGGTTACGTACAGAAGGAAAATTGAAACCCGGCACAAGTAGACATACAATACTAATGATAGAAAGTTATATTGCACGTGGAGTATATAAATTATCTGGGATCGTGAAGTGGAATGTATTAAAATAACATACCCATTATCATGCTATCTGATGTTAGCCTGAATAACGGTGCATACTATCAGTTTTCAAACATACAGTTTGGAATTGTCAAGCTGGCATAAACTCTGTAATGCTTAATTTTTAAAAATTATTAGACATCTTGCTGATTTGCATTTCACAGGTCCTCCAAACAGACAAGGAGAATTTCAAGTACATTCTAAAAGTTAATGGCAAAAGATTAAGACAGTGGTCACATGAGTAAGTTAACCTTGTGACGCTTTGAGATGTCTCAGTTAAGAAATAAAAAAAGCTGTAAGCAGATGACATAATCTCTAAAAGTAATTCAGCTGCTCCCCACGAGTAGTAAATTTTCCTCAGATGAGCCAGAGCTAAGTTTGTCTTATTTTCAGATGCCTACATTCCTCTGCACACCCTGCTCTTTTTTCAGCCTTTCAAATGGGCAGCCTGTTTTTCCAGAGGCAGCTGCCACAGTGCAATTTGCTGCAGTTTCAAGCCCTGCCATTCCTGTGCCCGCTAGCTCAGACTCAGCTGTGGCTCAGAGCCTCCACATCTCAGGCTGTGATGCCAAGGCAGCCAAAGCCAGTCCTAGACTGGATCCAGTCTTTGCACTGGCCGCTTGGGTTCTGCTCTTCCTCTCATGGTCACCCTGATCATGCACTGGCCTCTCCTCTGCCCTGCGTGGCACTGACTCTGCTCTCATCTGACCCTGTGTGGAGCTATTTCAGCACAATGACCCAGGAGAAAACTAATTCAGCCAGAAAGTCAGTAGTTTTCAATTTGCAAATCACAGGTGCATCACGAAGAGAGATCTCTGCATCAAATGCAAAGGGAATATATAGGTCAAAAAAATACAGGAGAGGTAGGAGCAAGGAGGAAAAGTAGAAGAGCACACTTTAAAAGCTGGAAAGAAAATAGGGTTTAGAGAGACTGGGATAGGAAAAAAGGGGAGAGGAGACCTGTGCTGCCTGGGCAATAAACTAATGGGCAAGGAAAACATGAGTAGGGAAACCTGGGATTGTCTTCAGCAAAGAGACTGAAACAGCTGGGAAGGAGAGACTGGTGCCTAGTGCAGTTTGTGGAGTCTCCATCCTTGGAGGTATTCAAAAGCTCCATGCAACCTGCTCTAGGTGACCTGGGCAGCTGGCTCTAGGTGACCCTGCTTGAGGGGGCAGGGGTTGGACTACATGATTTCCAGAGGTCCCTTCCAACCTCAACCATTCTGTGATTCTGTGAGGTAAGAAAAGCAGCTAGGAAGAGGACTGGAGTCTGGGGTAGTAAGACAGTAGATCAGTAGTCTGGGGTAGGACAGGAGAATTACGATCCACTAGTTGAGGAGAAGAGGATTGGAAACTCTGACTTGGAGCCTGGAGAGACACCGTGCTACTTTTGGGGAGATGCTAAGGAGAGAAGACTAGAACTGGCTGGATGTGGGGAGCGGGGCTATAACAAGCACCCAGGGCTTGGGTAGACTAGGAGGGCATTAGGTGAAGAAGGTCAAGGCTGGGGAAGAAGGGGGTGAAAGAATTTGTGCTCTCTGGAGGACACTCCTCTTTTGAGCCGAAATGGAGCCCAAGAGTCCTGATCTGACTCTTGATCTTTGCCCCACTGTCAGCAAGTATCTATGAAACCCAATGCAGTGTTCCTCCTCTCATACTACTCCATTTGGAAAATCATGACCTGCTACGTTGCTACTGCTTGGTTACATCAAATGGATGTGGACTAGGCAGAAGATTTGAAAGAGTTCAACTCTGCTGAAGAATCACACGCATGTCACCTAAATGTCACATCACAGAATTTTTATTTTTCCGGTTGACAGTTTTTAAAACTACTGAAAGCACCCACCTGTAAGTGCAGAACTACTGATCGGGTATATAAATTTATACAGTGTGTGCAAATAATCTGTTCTAAAAGTACAGCAGGGCTGAGAAGCACCCTGCATCTTTCTCGAAGAAATCTGAAGCTATATAGTGCCTCAGTGAACCACATACTCTGAAAGCAAAAAAAAAGTGTGTTTTTCCCTTGCTAAACTTGAAGTAGGAGCCAGCTTTTTCCAGACACAGGCATGACCTACCCTTCTCAGAACAGCAACTCAGCATTGTAGAAACAAATGAGCACAAAAACGACTGAGTTTGATTGACGTCTGGAGTGACCGTTTTCAAAGAACACCAGCACTAGATTTGGGAACGCGTAGTCCCTGCGCCATTTTCCAGTCCTAGAAATCACTTGGCAAACAGACCTGCATTATGCTCCCCCTTTGGCTGAGTATGTGCACGCTCTGCTACTAATAAACACTAACTTGATGCATTGATAAGGTAGCAGAAAGTTTAGCTTATGTTTTTGACTGGAGGACTTCATCTTTGTAGTATTTGGGAGTGAAGTGACAAAAATAAGCACAGGCGTGACAATTGCTGGAATCTGTTACAAAAGGAAAAACAGCTTGTGACAAATATTTATGTAAGGTACATGGGAGATTTAATTCTGGAACGACTGAGGATCACGTTAAGGCTTGGGTGTCACTAGGCAAACGAACTCCCCCTTCTTCTGCAGAGATGGGAAACCTCAGTTCAGTAAATCAAAGCACTCCTGAGATGACAGGTAAGTTGTGGAGGAAGAGTTCAACGGATAAACCATGATTAGAACAAACAAAAAGTAAATTTCTAGTAATGAAATTTCAATGAATACAGGAAAAACACCGGATATTGTCTTTCGGTTTGTGTTGACTTCAGCCTTTTTCAGGTACTGATTAGACAGGCAACGTCCCTGCTGTCTGGCCTATATCTAATATTAGCTCATGACGAGATAACATTCAAGCCCATTCTAACTACTGACAGAGCGTAGTTAGCGATATGCACGTGATCGTCAGGATTTCATCAGGAAAGTCAGCAAAACCACCGACTACTACTGTCTGGCATTTTACAACTGCAATGTATGTACACATACCACGCAGCATGGACCATACAGACGATCAGCCAACGCGCATTGCATTCAGCGCTATGGACTGCGTTGGGTTTATCATGCCTAAGCAAAGCCCCCACGCTGCACGTTGCTGTGCACGTTGCTGTACGTTCAGGTGTGCAGGCGTGCAGTGCACGGGTCCCCAGCGTGCAGGATTTTTCAGCCTTTGAGGAAGAGTTAGGTCCAGCACACAGGCTGCTGGGTTAGTGGGCCAACGTGGTGCAGCGCGTCTGGAGCTACACGGCACGTCTGGGAATGCCAAAGAAAGCTAAAGGAGAAAAACAAAATCCAGGCAGATAGGACTTCTAGTTGAAAAAAAAAAACACAAAAGGAAGTAATCTAAGAAAACAAACCAGCAGCACTGTATAATGGTAAAAACTCTGAAGTGGGAGCTGCAAGTAATTCCATACGTTTAATACAGGTTAAAACAGGTCTCATGCTGGGGACAGCGCGAGGACTCCTGGCACTACCCATAAAGCCCAAAAAAGGCAACCCCCGGCTCGGCGTTAGGCACACCAGCCCCGCACCGAAACCGCCAGAAATAAACCCCGACCGAGCGAACCCAGCCCCCGCAG